GCTTGAGGCTACGGCAAAGAAGAAGCCAATCAGTGTGAGGCCAACCTGGCCGGGCCCAGAAGTGCAGCCAGCAACTCAAATGGAGCCGGGGGCACCAGGATGAAGAACCAGTCCACCAGCAGCCAAAAGTTTCCACCTGAAGAACATACAAAAAGCGCTCAACAAGCACAGGCATGGATCTGTATGAAATTGACATGAAAGCTGGCTGCAAAACTCCGAAACCGTTCGCCAGTCTGTTCATTGTTCCTTGGGCTCCCAAGCAGCAGCGGTGTGAGCAGCTGCCTAGCGCAAAACAGCTCATGTTCACGCGGATTGACCAAATCTCTTCAATAGCAAAATTTGGCCAGGCTTTGAATCATTGAACGCACAGAAGTTTAGCACTTTAAACCCCATCGCCCATGCTCACCATGTTTGAAAGGGTGTACGCAGTATGTTTGACAGGTCAGCCATGCTGTGCCTGACTGCTCAAAAGCCTCTTGGAAGGCCAAGGCCGTGAGCAGGAGCATGAGCAAACCCTGGCATACTAGCGAGTAGTAGCGAGTCGTTGTGTAGAGGGCATAGAATACAAGCAGAGCAAGTCAGTCAATGAAGCACAATTCTAATTAAATTCTTATTGTTACTAGTAGTAAGGCACTTGTTTCTAGTAGCAAACATTGTTACTACTAGTAAGGCACTTGTTACTAGTAGCGATGCACTTGTTTGTTGCTCCGGGCTTCGCACCCAAATCACATCCACAATGACTTCGAGGGCATTGTGCCATACACGCGTCTGCAGCGGCCTTACCTCCATCACTGGCCTCAGAGCGAAAGCAATGTGAGATAAAGAGACCAAAGCACCTCAAAGCACCTCAAAGCATCCTTCAAACGAGATTGCGTTTTAAGAAAAAAGTGACAGCTCTAAAGCTGGACGCATAAGGGTCTCACTGTACTAAGCCACCACGGACAAAGTTGATCTTCAACTGCAAGCTTCACAGCGCACGAATACGTGTAGACACTTTGAGCTAAAGCAAGGTTTGGCCTGAATGTGGATATAGCTGCCAATGTCCGGGTTCAGCAGAGTACATGAGATCTGAGGCCAAGTGCTGTCCAGTGAAGCTCAAAACAATTCGTAAGGCCAACACAAAGTCGTAAGTGCAAATCACAAATGTGTGTCTTCTGGAAATCGTCTCCTCTGACATGCAGAGCTGCACGCAAACACACCCAAACCAAAATAAAACCTGTCGCAACTGCGCCTGCAGCATGTCAGTGGCATCATCAATCCACTGCAGCCTTTGAAGCTCTTGTGCTCGCAAAATGCCTGAACTATCACGATGAGCGAATGAAACGGGGATGGCCAACCAGCTGTTCCATAGTGCGTCCCGCTTTTGGGTAGAGGGGATCCATTCAAGGTGATCTTTGAACCAAATGATTGCCTTCACGTGAACAGATCCTGGCGTATATGTATATAAATTGTACGTTGATTGGCTCCTGTGCAAGCTGCTACTGGAGTGAAGGCACCCCCTCCCTCCCGCACCAGCAACATAGAAAGAAAAGAAAACACTGCAAAAAGAAGGAAATCACTCGATCAACTGCTCTAGATTGTTGTGCTCCGTGCTACGACCAATAATCTCTGACCAACAGGACCGATGGGACCAACCCGACCGACGGGAACGAGTCTGCTGGGAAGCCTTCAACTTGGCTCGTGTCATTCTGCAGGCGAGAGATCTTGGCATCAAAGAAATCTGAAATTAAAAAAAGCAATCACGCCTTAAACCTGGAATTCGTGAAGGATGTGTTGGCTTGTTCACGTGGCTATTTCCAAAAAGAACCACCAGCATCCCGCATGTTGGCACAAAAAGACAACTTGAGAAGTGCGAAGCTCGTGAAATTCTTGAGCTTTCCGGCTCTTAGAAAGGCAAAGAACAGCTCCTGAAACACTCAGGGATGCCTCCCTCACAGATTCAAACGATGACTTCAGCAAGGGGCAGACCTAGTCACTAAATGACATGCCTACTGAAAACCAAGTAAGCTTGATGGCGCAAGTCCTCTGCGGGATCATTCAACGCCATTGATGCAACCTGCACCAAACTCGCTCTTTCAAAACACAATTGCAGAGTGAGCTCCGAATCGTATGCCTGAAAGAAAGGACACTAGGAACAAGAAGCTAGTAGAAACAAGTGCCTTACTAGTAGTAACAGGTGC